AATAAGAATGATGCCAATAGAGCGGCTGAGGCAGAAAGAAAGCAGCACAAAAGGCCAGAGGAGCTGAATTTGGACGAGGGACAAACCAAGAGAGGAGTGAAAAGAAGTGCAGGGCGGACTGCCACAAAGGAACAATTCACCTTATAATCGCTTTGATATATTATACATGCCTGAAGACTCTAAACATTGTGTAATTATTTATAAATGACTGTCCCCCCTCTCTTGCAGAAGAAAGCAGCAGAAAGACTCTGCAGGTCTCTGCTTCTTCTCGGCTGAGCTGCAAACTGAATAAATGGAATAATTAATGGAAAATTGTATGCCTGTCTCATAAAGATGTCTTTAAAAAACACTTAAAGAAAATTGGTCTGGGCCTGTGTGTGCTCACTGCTGCCTGAACAGATGAAAAGAGAGACAAAAAGCCAGACTTCATGAAAATGAAACTGTTCATCTGAAGCTGTTTGAGTTGGATAAAGATGACGTGCACCAAAGATCGGGGTCATTTTTAATGGTTTTCTTGGATGCAGATTGCTGGTCACAGGCTCAGTGAGCGGGCTTGCTATTAACTGGTTCACACCTTATTTATCTTAATGAAACATGTCAGTGGTTGCTACTAAAGTCACTAATGATCTTTTATTTTCTAAGAACATGCTGCTGAGGAGTGTTGAAATGCTGAGGCCGTCCGTGCAGACACCACCAGCAAACACTGACTTTAACCCTACCTCTATCTTTTCTCTATACTGTGGGTTTCTGCTGAGTTACACATAGTTCTTTCTGTATTATCTTGAATAAGTATGAATTTGAAATGATTGGCGTATGTCATGTGACTGGAAACTGACCAATGGCTACTGAGTCATGAGACCCTTTAAAACACACCTGTTACAGATTATGACATGAGTGAGTCTGAAGAAGCCACAATACCAAACACCTTGCCAGCAAATTCAAGGAGAAGATTCTCCATGTAGACATCTCTGTGGATGTGAGGTCTATGTTGTCTCTGGCCGTGCACGGGATTGCTGCCTTAATTTTATTTAACTGTGAAAGAGTTTTAACGTATCTGGTTCGATTAATCATCCTGCTGAGAAATGATTATGTGTTCACAGAGTCCCTGAATCATTATTCCTCCGTTATTTAAAGAGTTTATTTCTCAGTATCACATTACTCAGCTCCAACAATGCTGCAATATTATCTTATATTCCCTCACATTTGTCTGTTTTCCTCTTTAATATCTATTTTATTCTCTGCCTGTTTGATATTTTCTTATTGTGAAGGATATTTTGAAGAATGTAGATTTTCACACTTGTCTAATAAATGAAAACAACTATAACTTATGAAAACACTCATGAAGTCACTGAACAGGTGAAATGCAAAGCGACTAAGCAGGTTTTTCCAGGTTAGTGTGTCTTTTAGGGAACAAAGACGCAGAATCTAAATAAATGTTGATTATGACAGGATGTGCAGGAGCTGGTGACTCTCGGCTCAAACGGACCCAACAAACCAGCAGGACGTTTCTCCACTTTCTCTGACATTCACGAATAAAAGGTTCCAAATTTGAGCTTTTTTTAGGTTTAGTCCCGCCACTTTAACTTCTCCCTGTAACGCACTTTGGTCAATGGCTGTTCTTTTAAATGTGCTTTAAAAATGAGTAGGACTCGATTATTATTATTAATAAAAGACACGCTATTCGTCTCTGGTTCGCTGTCTGCTCTAAGAACAAAATCCCTGGAGATCGAAGGTTAAACTTAAAAAAAAAAGTTCTTAAAATTTCTATTTAACCTTTATTTTAGCAGGAAAACGAATCCACTGAGATTAAAAACCTCCAGGCAGCAGCCAAGTTTCAAACAGCACGACACTCTCTTTAGTTACTACCAAATAATAAATCATCCACACAATTCAAAAGCCCATAAAACTGACTGAATAGTTATATCTGAGGACATTTTAATCCAAAGAGTCGTTTACTTGCCCTGAACTAAAAACCAGGAGCTTCTCTTTGTTTCCTCTGTTGTGACTTTGACTGAGGTGAAGGATGAGAGTTTCTCCTGCTGCTCGTTTCTCTCTTTCTCTGTGGATTCGTGGTCCTAAGGGATGGATGGATAGATGGGTGGATGGATGGAGGGAATGGTGGATGAATCTTCCGGAGCGTGTCTCCGCCCGGCGGGGGGCGGGGAGTCCCACTGACTCTTCGTTCTTTCTCGTTTTAATGTTTTTAGTTTTTACTATGAAAGTGGGTTTGGTCTTCTGTCTCCCAGGGGCTGGGGCTGGGGGGTTTGGCTGTGCGGGTTCGTGCGTGTCCTTCGCGTGGCCGGCTGCCGGCTCTGATTGGCTGGCCGTGATTACCGGCACGCTTCTCTGTGCAGGGCCAACAAGAAACCGCAGGCGTCATTATGTTAATGAGCAGCTCCCGCGGCACGGGGCAGACCTGCCGCAGCATTCATTCTCCTTATCCTACACTCTGATGCCAGGGTGGGGGAGTGGGGGTGCACAGGAGGGGTGCAGGGGCAGGGGGCCGGTCATTGTCCGTCCACAGTATATAAGTGGGCTGAGGCCGGTCGTGTGCCAGGCTCACCGGCTCGCACGAGCTGATCCAGAGCGAAAAGACGCACAGAGACGCGTGCCGAGCATCCCACACCGAAACCCTCCGTCCCCTTGGATCCGTGCTCAGAGAGACTTCAGCAGACCTCAGGTACGTTAAGCGCGTCTCTGTGCACCTGCGCGGACCTCCACATCAATCTGCGGGCGCTCCGGTCTCCTGCGGGTCCTAACCTGCTGGTCTACTCTC